CCAGTTCCAGCGCCGCCACATTGCCCGAATGCGAGCCACCCAGCACCAGGTTGGGGGCGCCGGCAACGATCGTCAGGCCGGCCACACGCGCCGCAACGGCCGCCTCGAGCGTGGTCGGGAACTCGGAGATGCGCGCACCACTGGCCACGGCCTCGTCCACATCCGCAGGCACGGTATCGTCGTGGCTGGCCAGGCACAGGCCGCGTTCCCGCACCCACTGCAGCACCTGCTGCAGGTGTGCGGGGCGATAGCGCGCCTGCTGTGCCCGGCGTGCCTGCAGCAGGTCGTCCAGATAGGGGGCCGGTGCGTCGGCCGGCAGACCGTAATAGGCAGCATAGCGTTGCAGGTTGCGGAACTGGCGCTGCCCCGGGGTGTGATCGGTCAGCGACAGCAGGCGCACCGCCGGATCATCCAGCAGCGGCTCCAGCAATGGCAGCAACCCGGGATAGGGCAGCTCGGCGCGCAGGTGCAGGTAGTGGTCGCTGCGCAGGCCACCGCCACGGCGCGCCTCGGCCAGCGCCGCATGCGCGGCCTGCAGGCTGCGTACGCGTACGCTGTCGGCCTCCACGTCGCCCACGGCCAGCGCATCGCAGGCCGTAGTGATGCCTGCAGCCAGCAGCTGCGCATCGTGCGCCTGCACGGCCGCGGCCGCTGGGAAGGCCACGCCCGGGCGTGGTACCAGGTGCTTCTCCAGATTGTCGGTATGCAGCTCAACAAACCCCGGCAGCAGCCAGTCGCCGCCGCAGTCCTCGGCGCCCGCCCTGCGCACGCGCCCCTGCCCCACGGCGTGGATGCGTGGCCCGTCCAGCACCACATGGCCGTGCACGATCTCGTCGGCCAGCACCAGTTTCAGGTTGTCGAGGATGTGTTCGCCCATGGTTTCCGTAGCCCGTGTCATGCCATTGCAATCGCAGCGCGTTGATATGCCTGCACGTGCAGTGCACCTGTCTAGTCCAGCAGCCGCAGATGGAGGTTTGATGACCATGCCCGACCCGGCCCTGACGCCACGCGATTCGGCGCTGCCACTGTGGCAGCAGATCGAACAGGCGCTGCTGCGGCAGATCCGCGAACGCCAGCTGGTGGAGGGCGATGCACTGCCCTCGGCGCAGGTGCTGGCCAAGCGCTTCGCGGTCAACCGCCACACCGTGCGGCGCGCGATCGAGGCGCTGGAAGAGCGTGGCTACGTGCGCACCGAGACCGGTCGCGGCAGCTTCGTGCAGGAGCATCCGTACCACTACCCGATCAGCCGGCGCACGCGCTTCGGCCGGGCCATGCATGACCTGAACGTGGAAAGCCACTACACCCTGCTCGATGTCCGCGTGCAGGTGCCGAGCCGCCAGGTGGCGCGTGCGCTCGGCCTGATTGCCGGCGAACGCGTGCATCGGGTGGTGTACTCCAGCCAGGTGGAAGGGCGCACCGTGGACCACAGCGAAGCGTATTTTCCCGCCACCCGATTCCCGGGACTGGGAGAGGTGTTCGCACGCACACCTTCGGTGACCCGCACCCTGGCCGCGTTCGGGGTCACCGACTACCTGCGCCGGCACACCACGGTGATGGCGCGCCTGCCCGATGCCGAGGTCGCGCGCGTACTCGGCCAGTCAACGCGGCGGCCGGTGCTGTGCGTGCACTCGCTCAACGTCGATCCGCAGGGACAGCCGGTGCAGTTCGGCATCACCAGCTTCGCCGGTGACTGGGTGCAGCTGATGGTCAGCAGCGACCTCTAGGAAAAGCGCGGCGAGCGTTGCACCCGCCGCGCGCAGGCTTCATGCCGCGCAGCGCAATGCCGTGTAGCGACCGTCCACCAGTTCCTCGGCCAGGCCGAAGCTGAGCGTCATGCCCAGGCCACCGCCACCGATGGCGTTGACGAGGGTCACACCCGGGGTGGGCTCGGCGACGAACTCGCTGCTGCCGTCCAGCAGCTTGGGATAGATACCGTGCCAGGTCTGCGCGATGCGCGCGTCCGGTACCTGCATGAAACGGGACAGGTAATCGAGCACTTTCTGGTTGATGGCGTGCTCGTCGAACGGGTCATGCGTATGGGCATAGGCATGCGAATCACCGATGGTGATTTCACCAAGGCCGTTCTGTGCCGCCATCACGTGGATGCCCAGCTCGACCAGGTCGGCATGCTCGGCCTGGTAGCGCGCCTGCAGCGGGGCGACGTCGGCGGCCTCGCGGAAGCCGGCGTAGTGCACCAGTGACAGGCCACCACACAGGGCAGCACCCAGGCGGAATCCGGACGGCTGCGCGGCCAGCCGCAGCATCTGCAGCTTGCAGCGGGTCAATGGTGCTGCCGCGTACAGTTCCGGATACAGCTGCTCGAACTCCGGGCCACTGCAGACGAACACCTGGTCGGCCTCGAACCGGCGGCTGCCGGACCACACCCGGCCGCTTTCCACCGCCGTCACCGGCGTGCGCCACTGGAACTGCGCGCCGTGGCGCTCGCGCAGCACATCCGGCAACGCGCGGATCGCCTGGCGCGGATCGACCACCAGCTCATCGGCATTGAACAGCGCGCCACGCAGTTCGCGTGCGACCAGCGCCGGCGACTTCGCCAATGCCGCATCCCGGTCCAGCAACCGGCATGGGCGCATCTGCGCATTGGCGGCCGCGTATTGCTGCAGCACGGCCCATTCGTCGTCGGCGTGGGCAACGTGCATCGAGCCACTGGGGTCATGCCAGAGGCCGGCCACGTCGATCAGCTCCTGCCAGATCTGCCGCGAGCGCAGCGCGCGCTCATACAGCGGTCCATTGGGCACGCCGATCGGCCAGACCATGCCGAAGTTGCGGATGGAGGCGCCGACAGCGCGTTCATGGCGCTCCAGCACGGTGACCTTGCAGCCACGCACGGCCAGCGCGCGGGCCACGGCCAGGCCGACGATGCCGGCACCGACCACGAGGGCGGTTGTGTTCTTCATGGGGGATGGACTCAGACGGAGGCGAGCGCCGGCATGCGGGCCAGGCGCAGGGCCTTGTGGTGGAAGTACAGCAGCGACAACAACAGGCAGGCACCGCCCAGCAGCGACAGATGGATCACGGCGCTGGAGAAGAAGCGCACCCACGACAGCTGCAGGCCGGAGAACTCATGGCCGAGCAGGACCAGCACACTGCCGAGATAGCCGAACGCATCGGCCAGGTACATCACGAAGCCGACGTTGCCGGCGACCTTGAAGGTGGCGATCAGGCGTTCGAAGAACACGCAGTTGAACGGCACGTAGGCCAGGTACAGGCCGAAGCCCACCAGGCCCAGCCACGCCAGCGGATGCAGCATGCCCTCGCGGAACGCCAGCGTGCTCAGGCCGGCGGTGGCCAGGCCGATGAACATCAGCACGTGCAGGGCCATCAGGCCGTTGAGGTTGTTGCGGAACCAGGTCAGCCCGGCGGTCAGCGCCAGCACGGCGAATGCCACCGGCGTTTCGATGGCGGCGAACACGCCGGCGCTGCCGCCATAACCCAGCTCGCGGAACAGCTCGGCCTCGAAGCTGTCGCGGAAATCGCGGACCACGGTCAGGCACACGTAGCACAGGATCATCAGCGCCAGCCCCGGCAGGAAGCGGCGCACGAAGGCGCGGCGCTGCGTGCGATCCATCGGCAGGCGCGGCGAACGCTCGCGCAGGTCGTCGGCATCCGGTGCGGGAATGCGTTCGAGCATGCGCACCGACACCAGCAGCAGCGGCAGGAACAGCAGCCCGCACAGGAACGGCATCCAGAACTCGCTCATGCCCTGCAGCAGCAGCCACTTGCCCACCGACTTCACCACGCCGGAGGCCATGATGAAACTGGAGGCGAGGATCGCACCCATCGCTTCGGTGGTCCGGCGCCCTTCCAGATAGCTGAACACCAGGCCCCAGACCATGCCCAACGGCAGGCCATTGAGGAACAGGAACGGGATGTTCCAGGGCGCCGGCACCAGTGCGAAGCCAAGCAGCGCCAACCAGGAGATGCCGATCAGGCCCAGCAGCAGGCTGGCGCGGCGCTCGGCGCGCAGCTCGCCGATCACCCGCACGCCGATGAACTTGCTGCACATGTAACCCAGCACCTGCGCCACCACCAGCCACACTTTGTAGTCGGCGCCAAACAGGTGCTGGCCATCGAACGATGCAGCGGCGAAGGGCTTGCGGAAGGCATACATGCAGGCATAGGTGGACAGCGCCGCACTGCCGGCAAACACGGTCAGCGCCAGCGGGTGCCCCTGCAGCCGTTCCCGCAACGAGGGCCGGTTCATGCGGCGGCGACCGTGCCGGAAGGTGCCAGGCCCAGCAGCGACGGCAGGCGGTCGAGGTGGTCGATGATGTGGTCCGGACCGTGCGGCAGCAGTTCGGCGCGGGTGAACGCGCCGGTGGTGACCGCAACATTCAGGCCGACACCGGCGTTGCGGCCTTCGTTGATGTCGACCTCGGTGTCGCCCACCTTCACCACGGCGGCGGCATCGTCCACCCCGGTACGCTGCATCAGCGCCTGGATCATGTACGGCGCCGGCCGGCCTGCAGGCACGTCATCGCTGGCCACAAATGCGTCGATGCGGTCGTGCCAGCCGAGCCGCGCGATGATCGCCTCGGCGATGTCACGCGAGAAGCCGGTGTCCAGGCCGATACGGATGCCGTGCGCGCGCAATGTGTCGAACAGCGCCTCGGCGCCCGGCAGCGGTGCAATGCCCGGTGCATGGCGATAGCACTCAAGCATGCGCGCCACGAAGTCGGCATGGATCGGGGCCACGCGCGGGTCGTCCACCGTGGCGCCCAGCAGCCGTGCGATCGCCTGCGGCTTGGGGTAGCCCATCAGCGGGCGCACATCCTCCACCTCGATGGCGTGGCCGGCGACGGCCATCGCTTCGGCGAAGGCATGGGCCACCAGGCCCGGGTCGGCAACGGTGGTACCGGCAATATCAAGAACGGCGAGGCGGTAGCGCATGGCGGCAGGCGGCGTTGGGCGGAGGTGCCCAGCTTCGTCGCCGCCGGCCACGCCCTGATGACAGCGCCCGGACAGGCCGATGCACCTGTCTAGCCGGGCGACCCCTGCGTGGCCATGTGCCGCACGTGTTCGGCGGCCTGCGCGTGCAGCCAGTCGCGGAAGGCGAGGAAGCCGCGATGGCTGGCCGAGCGTTGCGGGTACACCAGCCAATGCGGCCACGCCGTCTTCAGGCGCTGGCTGGACAGCGCCACCAGCCCTGGCCCGGATTCCAGCAACAGGCGCGCCCGCGTCACCCGTCCCAGCGCCACGCCCACCCCGTCCAGCGCCGCACGGTGGTGGGCCTCCGAATCATCCAGTACCGCCACGAAGCGCGGCGGCGGGCTTTGCCCGCTCAACGCGAACCACGCGCCCCACGCGCCGTCGGGATCACCGAGCAGCGGCCACCGGGTCAGCGGAACACGGTCGATGCCGCCCATGCGCTCGATCAGCGCCGGGCTGGCCATCGGCAGCAGCCACTCGTCGAACAGCGGTTCCACCACCAGCCCCGGCCAGTGCCCGGTGCCCAGCCGCAGCGCGGCGTCGAAACTGCCGCTGCCGCTCGAAGTCGACCAGCCGTTCACTCGACTGCAGGTTGATCTCGATCTGCGGGTGCGCAGCCACGAAGTGGCCCAGGCGTGGCACCAGCCACGCCGAGGCCATCGATGGCACCGCGCTGATCGTCAGCACGTGCTCGGCGCGCGCCGCATAGGGCTGGAAGGCCTCGTTGATCGCGTCCAGATGCGGGCCGACCTGCTCCAGCAGGCGCTGCCCTTCCAGCGTAAGGGTGACGCCACGCGGCTGCCGGATCAGCAGCGGCTGGCCGAGGCGCTCTTCCAGCTGGCGCATCTGATGGCTGAGTGCGCTGACCGTCAGGTTCATCGACGCCGCCGCACGCGACAGGTTGCCGAGCCGGGCGGCAGCCACGAAACCCTGCAGGGCATGGAGGGGCGGACGGGACATCAGGCTTGAATTCCTCTCAAGGCGTGCTTGCGGAAATGTCGCTTTTTGCACGTCCATGCTGCCCGTATCGTGCAATCCACTCAAGTTGAGGCACGCTCATGAACATCTTCAGCGGCTTGTTGTTCCTGCACGGCCATGTGGCCAGCGCCGAGCTGGCCCGGCAACTGGCCAGCCCGGTCCCGCCGCCCAGCAGCACTCACGGTAGTGCTGGCCGCTGGCCGGTAACCTCGCCAACCGGGCAGCCCGCGGCTGCCGGCCGCTGCCCGGCACGTCCCTAACGCTGCAGCGCCTCCTGCACCGCGGCCGCCACATCGGTGTTGTCGATGTAGCGGCCGTCGTTCCAGCCCACGTGCTGGCGGTAGCCGGCATCAACGCCACGCACGCGCTTTGCAAGCAGCTCCGCGCCCGCGCCCTTGGCCCACAGCGGCACCAGCGCATTGGAGTGGTTGCCGGTGGGGCGGAAGCTCATCCCCGGCATGCGTCCGCGGCCGTTGTTGCGCACCGGCTGGAAGGCGACGTTCTGTGCATCGGGGCCCATCGGCATGCTGTTGTCGTGGTCGGTGGTGACGATCAGCAGGTTGCGCTCCCAACCACCATTGCGTTCAATCCAGTCCACCACCGCCGCCACCGCATCGTTGAACTCCACGGTCTCCTCGATCAGGCGGCCGTACTGCGGCTGGTCGCTGCACTGGCCGTAGTGCCATTCGGTGCCGCAGGCACTGGTATGCGCGGCCCAGTCGGTGGCGCCGCCTTCCACCATCAGGAACAGGCCCTCCGAAGATCGCTGCTGCAGGAACCGCAGTGCACCGCGGGTCATGGTCGCAAGATCCGGCACACTGTCGATCTTCCTTACGCCGGAGGGCGTGGCCGCATCCTTGCCCAGCACCTGCAGCTGGCGTGCCTGCTGCAGCGTGTTGGCCACGCGTGGCACGCCGATCAGCGGCCGGTCGGCCGGCAGCTGGCCCTGCGCCAGCGCGGCGAATTCCTCCTTCCCGCGGATCAGGCGCCACGGCCCCAACGGGTTCCCGCCAATGGTGCGGCCCGCTTCCAGCTGCTGCCAATCCTGCTGCGACACCCATTCCCACGGAGTCGCGCAGCCTTCGGCCCTAGCGGCATCCGTGGTCGGCCCACAGGCCAGGCCATCAACGCTGTAGCCGGGACCGCCGGTGCCCATCACCAGGTCCATGTGGCCCTGCGCCAGCATCTGGTGCGCAATGGCGTGATAGTTGTTGCGCGACTCGTTCTGCGCCGCGAACGCTGCCGGCGTGGCGTGCGCGAACGGCACCGAGGTCACCACACCGGTCGCCATGCCCAGGCGCTTGGCGCGCAGCGTATTGAACTCGGCCGGATTGCCATCGTTGTTGTAATTGATGGCGTTGTTGTAGGTCTTGATGCCCGAGGACAACGCCGTACCGGCCGCAGCACAAGCAGTGGTATCAACGCAGAGTACTTGGTAGCCGACGAACGGCAGGTCCTGCGCCGGCACCGGTTCGCTGTCCCAGGCCTTGCCCGCGTCGTAGCCCAGGGTCTGCGCGTTGTCGCGGGTCGGCTGGCTGCTGGCGTTCAACGGGAAGGTGGTTACCGCCAGGCGCTGCGGGAAATCCGCATAGGGGGCACCTTCGCGGCTGCCGTATTGCCAGTAGGCGGCGGCATCCCAGGTGCCCCAACCGGCCCCGTCGTTGATCATCACGATCACGTTGTGCGGGCGCGCTTCGGCGGTGGGAACAGCATCGGTGCGCAGATTCGGCTGGCAGCCCCCCAGCGCTGCCAGCGCGATCAGCAACGAGGAATGGAGCCAGCGGCGTGGCGCGCGTGCAGTCATCGGATATCCCATCGGGCCAGAGGCGGCCCACAATGACGATACGTTATATCGTTTCAATGTTGCAGCTTCATGCAGCTGCCGCGCACTATCCTGCGGCTCTCCATTGTCACCGCATCATCCATGTCCCTCCCCGTTCCAGAGCGCGCGCCGCTGTCGTCGATCACCCTGGATGCGGCCACCTTCGCGGTGATCCACCAGCACAACGCGGAAACCGCGCGGCAACCGGCGTCGCTGACCAAGTTGATGACCGCCTACGCTGCGTATGCATGCGTCGAGGAGCGCGGGCGCGCATGGGACGAAACGGTCACCATTGCCAGCGACGATGTGCATGCGGTGGCCGATGATGAAACGCGCATGGGCCTGGTGCCTGGCGAAACAATTACTCTGGCACGCCTGCTGGAAGGCTTGATGATCGTCTCCGGCAATGACGCTGCATTGGCGATCGCGCGCCACCTGGACGGATCGCAGACCGCATTCCTCGATCGCATGAACCGGCATGCGCGCCAGCTTGGCCTGCGCAGCACCTGGTTTGCCAGCGTCTCCGGCATCACCACCCCGCACCATGCGTCCAGCGCGCGCGACATGGCAGTGCTGGCCGCCTGCCTGCTGAACGATCATCCGCAGATACTGGCAATCACCGCGCAGCGCGCGTTCGCGCATGGCCGCTTCAGCCGCAGCAACCAGAATGCCCTGCTTGGCGAGCACGGCGTGGATGGATTGAAGACCGGCTACACCCGGGCCGCAGGCTTCTGCCTGGCCGCCACCGCGTGCCGCGCAGTGCCCGGCCGGGCGCAGCCGGTGCGGCTGATCACCGTGGTGCTGGGTTCTGAAAGCCGCGACGCGCGCGACGCACTGGTGCGCGATCAGTTGTCGGCAGGATTCGCCGCACTGGCCAACAGCTGACCGGCCATGCGGCTCAGCGCCGCTTGACCGTCGCCACGATCACGCGCTGCAGTTCTGCCTCGGCCCCGGCCTTGTCCAGAGCGCCGGCAACCACGCCCTCTGAAAGGGTCTCAGCCGCGCCGAGGATGGCCCATCGCCCCGCCAGGGGCACGGCCCCCTCGGCGGCGAACGGGCCCAGCCAGACCTGGCAGTTGTCGATGAAGTCCTGCTGGTAGCGCCGCCGCACCTCGCGCAGTTCGGGCGCACCAACCAGCGCCGCGAGGATGCCCTGCACTTCACTGCCCTGGCTGAGGATGCAGTCGATGTAGCCGGAGGCGATGGCCGCCGCGCGATCGGCCAGCTGCGCCCTGGCGCGGCCGATGCGCTCGTGGAAGACCACGGTCTGCCGCCCGTCATAGTCGTCGTAGAGCGCCGCCAGCAGTCCATTGCGGGTCACGAAGTGATCGTAGGCCACCGGCTTGGTCACGCCCGCCGCCTCGGCCAGAAGCAGTGGTATCAACGCAGAGTACTCCTTCCTCGCCGACCAGCGCCCAGGCCACGTCCAGCAACTGGCGGGCGCGTTGCTCGCGGGTCAGTCGGCGGCGTGTGGGAGCGGGCGTGGCAGGCATCGGCAGGGCACGGCGGTCAGCGCATCGGAGTACCGATTTTACGGCCGGTCTCCGCTGCCGACTGCAGATGTGCCCCGGCGGCGCCGGAATCGGCGTCCAGCAGCAGTTCGGATGACAGCACGCGCGCACCGCAGTAGTCGAAGATGCCCATGTCGATCTGGGTCTTCATCGCCGCCCCATAGCCGCGCCGCTCGATCATCTCCGCGCCGGCCCCGCCCACCCCGACCAGGTGCACGCACAGCCGTTGCAGCTTCTTCTGCACCTTGCCGTCGGCGCCCTCCTGGTAGGCCCAGCCCTGGGTGAACACACGGTCGATCCAACCCTTCAGCAGCGCCGGGAACGACCACCAGTACAGCGGGTAGACCAGCACCAGCGTGTCGGCCGCATCCAGCCGCGCCTGCTCGGCGGCGACATCGGCCGGTACAGCGCCGGTGCCGCGGAACAGCGCCTGGTCCTGCAGGTTGAAACGCGGGTCGAAGCCCTCGGCCATCAGATCGGCGTGGGCCACGCTGTTGCCGGCACCAGCCGCGCCGATGGCCTCACCGATGCGCCCGGCGATGGCGTGGGTCAACGAGGAAGGATCAGGATGGGCGATGACGATGAGGCTGTGCATGGGAGAGCTCCGGGATTCACTAACTACCAATGGTAAGTAATGAAATCCGGCGCACCAGCCCCATCGATGGGATGCTGTTTCCGCATCCCCCGTATAGTGCGGCGCTCGCCCGTGAGATGCCCGCCGATGCACCGACACCTGCTTGCCCCGCTGCTGGCCCTGGTGATGACGATGGCCGTTCCATCCGCCGTGGCCGGTGAACTCGGTCCGGAAGATTCCGCCGCCCTGCGCAGGGAGGTGCAGGCGATGATGGACGCCTTCGCCCGCGGCGATACCGACCTGATCATCGCGCGCACCCATCCCAGCCTGAAGCTGGCTGCCGGTGGCGATGAGGCCTATGCGCGGATGACGCGCGACACCGTGAAGCAACTGCACAAGGCGGGCGTCACCATCGTCAGCGACGAGGCGGGCGTGCCTGGGCGCACCTACGCCGCCGGTGACGAGGAAGTCTGCTTCGTGCCACGCCAGTCACTGCTGCGCGTGCGCGACGCGCCGATGCGCAGCACCTCGTTCATGGTCGCCGTACGCCGGGTGGGCACGACGCAGTGGAGCTATCTGGACGGTGCCGCGCTGCTGGACAACCCCGCGCTGCTGCGGCAGCTGCTGCCGGCCCTGGAACCGGGGGTGGTAGTGCCGAAGGGCGGGATGGAAGCGCTGTAGTCGCTGGCGCATCCCTCCAGGCACGGTGTGGATCCACGGACCGCCCTGCAGAACCGGGCCCACACCGGATTTCCGTCAACGGAACAGCGCGTTCAACGCCGCGCCCGAGGCCGCCTGCTGCAGGCCATCGAAACACCCGTCCTGCATGATCGGTTGGGTCGCCTGCATCAAGCCGCCCCACGCCGCGCGGGCCAGTGCGCCACCGAGGCTGACCCGGCGCACCCCGAGTGCGGCGATGTCCTGCAGGCGCATGGGCGTCGGTCCACCCACCAGCAGGTTCACCGGCTTCGATCCTGCCGCGGCCACCACCGCGCTGATCTGCTCAGGCGTGCTGATGCCCGGCGCGTACAGCACGTCGGCACCGGCCTCGGCATAGGCGCGCAGGCGCTGCAGGGTGTCCTGCAGGTCCGGCACCCCCACGAAGAAGTTCTCTGCACGGCCCACCAGCAGCACATCGGCGCCGGCATGGTCGATCGCCGCGCGGGCCGCACGCAGGCGCTCGACCGCCTGCTGGATCGGGCGCAGTGGTGCATCGGCCACACCGCTGGCATCCTCGATCGACAATGCGGCGACACCGGTATCGATCGCCGCGGCCACCGCCTCTGCCACCGCCGTTGGCGTGGCACCGAAGCCATCCCCGAAGTCGGCGTTCACCGGCAGTGGCGTCGCCCCCACCATCAGGCGCAGATGCTCCAGCGTGGCCTGCAGCGAAACCGCACCATCCGGCCGCCCCTCGCTCCAGGCACAGCCGGCACTGGTGGTCGCCAGCGCCTGGAATCCCTGCCGCTGCAGGTAGCGCGCACTGCCCACGTCCCACGGATTGGGCAGCACGAAGCAGCCCTGTGCATGCAGCTGGCGGAAAGCCGCGCGCCTGCGCGGGATGTCGGCGTCGATCAAGGTCATGGCGGGCTCCGGTACGGTACAGCGGCACCCTAGCCCGGCCATCGCCTGCGCTCAATGGCCGCATGCACAGGCGCATGAAGTGATGCCGCCTGCTTATTGGACGCGGCCGAGGGCCGTGCCGGAGCGTGCTTGCCTGCCCCCTCATGCTGCCATGGAGCCGTTCATGCACCCCGACCTGGATTCCCCCGCTGACACCCACATCGACGCAGGCGACGATGACGCGCAGTGGGCCGAACTGCTGTCGCCCGCCCGCCGGCGCCTGATCGCTTCGGCCGGGCTGGCCGCCGGCGGCCTGGCCAGCGCGTCGACGGCAGCGGCAGCCACGCGCGACGACCGTGCCGTGAACACCACCGAGCCGGGGCAGCCCGGCTTTCGCGCCATCGTCCCGCCGGCGGCGAAGGGCAGCAGCCCGTGGGGCCAGGCGACGGCCAGCGAGCCCACCCCGCGACCGGCCAGCGTGCGCCCCGGCGAGGCCACGCTGCCCGCCACCCCACGCGCGTACACCGACATCAAGAGCTATCACGCGCACATCTACTTCGATGAGGACAGCTTCGCCAAGGCGGCCCTGCTGCGGCGCTGGGCCGCCGAACGCTTCCCGGTGGAGCTGGGCAACTGGAACCTGGAACCGCGCGGGCCGCACGTCACGCCTTCGTTCTATTTCGGCTTCACCAACGACCTGCTGCCGGTGCTGGTGCCCTGGCTGCAGCTCAACAGCCTGGGCCTGACCATCCTGATCCACCCCAATACCGGCGACGGCCGCGCCGACCATCTGCATTACGCGCTGTGGGTGAACCGCGCGCAGCCGGTGAATGCCTACAACTGGCCGACACCGAAGCCCGGCGAACGGGAGCCGCTGGAGGAAGTCTTCCCGAACGTGGTGCCGACGGTGCCGCTGGAGACCTGAGCGGGTGCGTGGCGGGGGCGGTGGGTGGCGTGCAGCGCACCTTGGGCTGCCCCTCGGTGGGTGCGTAGCTTGCTGCGCACCGAACTTCCTTCATCCACGCATGGCGTGGATCTACCGCATCACGGCCCGTTGCGGCGTCGGTCATCGCCCGGCCTTGCCGGCATCGTCGGCCTACGTGCCAGCATCCCCGGCCAGCACCACGTTCAGCGCGCCTTGATCCGGCTCCCGCCGTACAGCCGCAAGCACTCCGGCGAATTTCAAACAATCGATTGAAACACGGCAAACTTCGCCGAACTGGACAGCATCCGCCGCTTCCGCCAGACTGCCGCCCTTTCCCGTCTTCCGGATCCCATGGCGAAGCTGCTGGTCCTGCACGGCCCCAACCTCAACCTGCTCGGCACCCGCGAGCCGGAGGTCTACGGCCACACCACGCTGGCCGATATCGACCAGGCGCTGGCCGCGCAGGCGTCCGCCGCCGGGCACGCCGTGGAAAGCCTGCAGTCCAATGCCGAGCATGTTCTGGTGGACCGCGTGCAGGCCGCGCGCAACGACGGAACCGCTTTCATCCTGATCAACCCGGCCGCCTTCACCCACACCTCGGTCGCCGTGCGCGATGCGCTGGCGGCGGTGGCCGTGCCGTTCATCGAGATCCACCTGTCCAACCCGCATACCCGCGAACCGTTCCGCCAGCACAGCTACTTCAGTGACAAGGCGGTGGGCGTGGTGTGCGGCTTCGGTGCCGACAGCTACCGCTACGCGATGGACGCGGCGCTGCTGCGCGTGCAGGCGGCGGGCGCGTGATGATGCTGCCGCGCGTGCTTGCCAGCCTCGCGCTGTGCGCCGGCCTGTGCGGCGTTGCCCATGCGGGCGACCGCAGTGCCGAAGGCATCGACTGCGCGCATCCCGCCACCACGATGGAGAGCGACCTGTGCGCTTCGGACGTGGCCGCTGCTGCCGACGCCGAACTCAATTCCGCCTATGCCCTGGCGCGCCAACAGCTGCGCACACCGGCCAAAGGCGGTAGTTGCAGCTACTGCGGCGATGCCGAGCAGCAGCTGGTGCTGGCCCAACGCGCCTGGATGCAGCTGCGCGACCATGACTGCAACGCGGTCTATGCCCTCAATTCCGATGGCACGGCACGCAACGGCGCACAGATGCGCTGCCTGATCACCCAGACGCGCGACCGTACGCGGCAGCTGCGCGAGTTCTACGAACTGCTTTGACCCGAGCGCGACGCGCTCCCCACCACACTGACATCAAGAGCAAAGAGGCCACCATGGATCTCCGCAAAATCAAGAAGCTGATCGACCTGCTGGAAGAGTCGAACCTGGCTGAAATCGAAATCAAGGAAGGCGAAGAGTCGGTGCGCCTGTCGCGCGCCCCGGTGGCCGGCTACGCCGCGCCGATGCCGGCACCGGTGTATGCCGCCCCGGCTGCCCCGGCCGCGCAGGCGATGCCGATGCAGTCGCCGACCGAAGCCTCCACCGGCGGCACTGCCAAGCCGGGCCCGGCGCTGCCGGAAGGCCACGTGCTGCGCTCGCCGATGGTCGGCACCTTCTACGCCTCGTCCGCCCCGGACAAGCCGGCCTTCGTCAGCGTCGGCCAGCAGGTCAAGGAAGGCGAGACCCTGGCCATCATCGAAGCGATGAAGATGTTCAACCCGATCGAAGCCGACAAGTCCGGCACCATCGTCGCCATCCTCGGCGAAAACGGCCAGCCGGTGGAGTTCGACCAGCCGCTGTTCGTGATCGGCTGAGGGGCACGCCATGCTCGACAAAGTCGTCATTGCCAACCGAGGGGAGATCGCGCTGCGCATCCTGCGCGCGTGCCATACCCTGGGCATCCGCACGGTGGCCGTGCATTCCACGGTCGACCGCAACCTCAAGCACGTGGCCATGGCCGACGAGTCGGTCTGCATCGGCCCGGCGCCGTCGCCGCAGAGCTACCTCAACATCCCGGCGCTGATCGCCGCCGCTGAAGTCACCGACGCCCAGGCCATCCACCCGGGCTACGGCTTCCTGTCGGAGAACGCCGACTTCGCCGAGCGCGTGGAGGAGTCCGGCTTCATCTTCATCGGCCCCAAGGCCGACACCATCCGCATGATGGGCGATAAGGTTGAAGCCATCCGCGCGATGAAGTCGGCCGGCGTGCCGTGCGTGCCCGGCTCGGGCGGCCCGCTGGGCGAAGACATCGTCGCCAACACCAAGATCGCCCGTGAGATCGGCTATCCGGTCATCATCAAGGCGGCCGGTGGCGGCGGTGGCCGCGGCATGCGCGTGGTGCACGCCGAAGCCTCGCTGAAGACCTCCATCGAAACCACCAAGAGCGAGGCCAAGGCCGCGTTCGGCAATGGCGAGGTCTACATGGAGAAGTTCCTGGAGAACCCGCGCCACGTGGAGATCCAGGTGCTGGCCGACGGCCAGGGCAACGCCATCCACCTGGGTGAGCGCGACTGCTCGATGCAGCGCCGCCACCAGAAGGTGGTGGAAGAAGCACCGGCACCGGGCATCAGCGCCGAACAGCGCGAGCAGATCGGCAAGGTGTGTACCGAAGCCTGCGTGCGCATCGGCTACCGCGGCGCCGGCACGTTCGAGTTCCTGTACGAGGACGGCCGCTTCTACTTCATCGAAATGAACACCCGCATCCAGGTGGAGCATCCGGTCACCGAAATGGTCACCGGCATCGACCTGGTGGCCGAGCAGCTGAAGATCGCCGCCGGCCAGAAGCTGTCGATCAAGCAGAGCGACGTGGTGCTCACCGGCCACGCCATCGAGTGCCGCATCAACGCCGAAGACGCCGAAACCTTCGTGCCGAGCCCGGGCACCATCACCGGCTTCCATCCGCCGGGCGGCCCGGGCGTGCGCGTGGACACCCACATCTACAGTGGCTACCGCGTGCCGTCGAACTACGACTCGATGATCGGCAAGCTGATCGTGCACGGCCCGGATCGCGAAACCGCCATCGCCCGCATGCGGGTGGCGCTGAGCGAGATGGTGGTCGACGGCATCAAGACCAACATCGCGCTGCAGCAGCGGATCATGCGTGACAAGGGCTTCCAGGCCGGTGGCCAGAACATCCACTACCTGGAAAAGCGCCTGGCCGAACGCAAGAACAAGCCGATCGCGTTGACCTGATCGGTGCCACAGGCTGGATACGGAAAGGGCGGGGATTTCCCCGCCCTTTTTCGTTGTCTGTAGCGCCGAGCATGGGCTCGGCGCTACGCAAACAGGTTCAGCGCTTGTCCGCCACTTCGGCCGGAATCTGCGAATTCGCCAGTGGGCGAACGCCATTGGGTGAGCTCGGGTCGACGATCACCATGGTTTCGGTGGAACCATCGGGCCAGACCACCTGGAAGGTGCTGCCGGCCGGTAGTGAGGCGAACGGCATGCCGCTCTGTGCGCGATAGACCGCCGCAACCTGGCTGGCACCGGCGCGGCGAACGTCTTCCTGCGCCTTTACCGTGGTCAGTTCCACTTTTGACAGATGCCGGTAGCGATCCTCGTAGGTATCGATCATCAACAGACCGACCGCACCCGCCGAGTAAGCCACGAACAGCGCCACCCAGAACCAGAATTTGGCCCCATGCAGGAATCGACGGTAGTTCATTGCCCGCCTCTCTTGCCAACCAATCGCTTGATCCACTGCTTCATCTTCCCCGAACCTTGCCGCGAAACCGCAGCGTCATACACGAAATCCCGGAAATCCTGTGCTCCATCCTGCGAACAGATCCCTCCGTTCGCACAAAAACCGTTCACCAGTACGCTGTCCGCACCACAAGGTAGACCGAGTTCACAGGCCGCAACCCGCCATGCAAGTTCGCTGAGCGGCTCACCGGCCACCTGCCCGGTCAGCGCACGATCGCCCGCTGCCCGTGCGCCCATTCCCGGCGCAATGGCCATGAAGGCTTCCGGGTCGCGCGACGCACGCACCCGCTCGACCAGATCACGGCGGTACTCGGGGCTGTCTAGCAGCGGCTCCCCTTCGGCGAACAACGAGGCCTCCGCAGCCAGGTTGCCCTGTGCGGCCGCCTTGCGCCGCTCGGCCAGCACCCGCGCGGCGCCCAGCTTGTCGCCCGGCACGAAACCACCACAGCGCTGCGCCACGCGTTCGCGTGCCTGCACCATGGCCGGTGCAGCGGTCAGGCCTAGTCCGGCCAGCACGTTGTTGTCCAGGCGGTACCCACCCGGATCGAGGGCGTACTGCGCGCAGTAGTCATAGACCCGGCTCAGCATCCAGCGCGCTTCATGATTGCCGTCATCGGCCTGCACGCGCAGGCGCTGCGCATACGCGTACAGATCAGTGGCCTCCTCGAAGTCGGCGCGCAGGTCCAACGGCAGCCCCGACGGCAGCGCGTTGCCTCGCTCGACAGCCGACAGGCGGCGTGCCAATGCTTCGGGCACCACCGGCATCGACGTGCTGGTGCCGCCCGCCGACAGCACCGACGGCAGCTCCGACGGTACCGGCACCGCGGAAACGTGGCCGCTGGCCCGATACCCGACCACGCCCAGCACGGCCACCGCCGGCAGCACGAGCAACCAGGTTTTCAGGGTCGGAGCGAAGGCCATCGGCGGCAGTCAGGCGTCAAGGCGCACAGGAAAGCGTGCAGTTTAGCAAGGCCCGGCAGCCCTGTCTGAACGGCCTTCGTTCATCTCAAGGCATACGGAGACGCCCTGATGGTCTAGCATGGCCCCCTTTCCCGCGATTGCCCCCACCGCCATGCCGTTCCTGGAACTGACCCTGCGTTGCACCGAAGCCACACAGCCCCGCTATGAAGACGCGCTTGAAGATGTGGGCGCACTGGCTGTCACCCTGCTCGATGCCGAGGCCGATACCAGCAACGAGCAGGCCATCCTTGAGCCGGGCGTGGGCGAGACCCCGCTGTGGGACACCCTGGTACTGAGCGCGCTGTTCCCCGCCGACAGCAACGCGCTGTTGCTGCTGGCTGCGCTGGAGGCCTTCGATCCGGAGCTGGACTGGAGCAGTGGCAGCTTCCGCGCGGTCGAGGATCAGGACTGGGAACGCGCCTGGCTGGACCAGTTCCAGCCGATGGATTTCGGCAGCCGTACCTGGATCGTGCCGTGGAACCATGAGCTGCCGGACGCCGCACAGGCCGCCGACGCCGCCGTGGTGCGGCTGGACCCGGGCCTGGCGTTCGGCTCGGGCACCCACCCGACCACCGCGCTGTGCCTGCGCTGGCTGGACCAGCTGGCCGTGGATGGCCAGCTGCAAGGCCAGCGCGTACTCGACTTCGGTTGCGGCTCGGGCATCCTCGCCCTGGCCGCGCTGAAGCTGGGCGCCGCTGAGGCCATCGGCGTGGACAACGATCCGCAGGCACTGGTTGCCACCGCCGACAATGCCGAGCGCAACGGCGAGCAGGCGCGCATGCAGGTGTACCTGCCGCAGGACGAGCCGGTTGCGACCTATCCGATCGTAGTCGCCAACATCCTCGCCTCGGCACTGGATGCGCTGGCCGAACTGCTGGCCGCGCGCGTCGCGACGGGCGGCCGCATCGCCCTGTCCGGCATCCTGCATGGCCAGGAAGGTGAGCTGCTGCAACGCTACGCGGCGTGGTTCGACGAACTGCAGGCCACGCAGGACGGCGACTGGATGCGCATCACCGGCGTGCGCCGCGCCTGATCGTGGTTGAATGACTGCTGGATCCGAGCCCGCGCCCTGAGCATGTCCGAGCCGAACCCGCCGCGCCGCCCCCTGGCGACCTTCCTGCGCACTGCGTCGGCGGGTGAAGCCGCGCCCGCGACCGATGCGCGCATGCAGGACGACGCCGCACCCGCAGCGCCCACGGTAGAACCTGCGGCCGATCCCATCGAGCCAATGCAACCGCCGGCGGCAGAAAGACGACACGATGATGACACTTTCATCGTGGAGGACGTCGCGCCCCTCGAACCGGCGCCGGTCGCGGTGCCGGCAGCGGTGGCTGCTGCCAGTGATGCTCCCAGTTTCCTCGGCAGCGCGCGAGCGCGCACGCTGCCGGCACCGCGCTGGCACTGGCTGCTGGTGGCAGGTCTGGCACTGCTGCTGGTACTGCAGAGCGTGCTGGCCGACCGCGCGCGCCTGGCCGCCGACGCCGGCAACCGTGCATGGCTGGCCCCCCTGTGCGGCGTTCTCCATTGCAGCCTGCCGCCCTGGCATGAACCGGCCGCGTTCACCATGACCAGCCGCGAGATCCGCCCACTGCCCGGGCAGGCCGGCGTGCTGCAGGTACAGGCCAGTATCCGCAACGATGCGCGCTGGGCGCAGGCCTGGCCGGACCTCCGCCTGTCGCTGTCCGATGCCGATGGCCGGGTGATCGGCAGCGGTGTGTTCCCCCCTGCGCAGTACCTGGGCGAGCCTCCCGGCACCGCGCAGCTGGAACCGGGCCAGAGCGCACGCATTGCGTTCCGTGTACAGGAGCCCGCCGCATCCACTGTCGCATTCACCTTCGACTTCCTCTGACCAGGCTGAAGACGCCCAGCCGTGGCAGGTCGAGCACGCTCGCGCTAGACTGACCGCCACCACCTCGTCCGGCCGCGCGCTCCGCGCGCACGGGCCAACCGAATCGGGAACCCCCTTGAACGCTGTCCTTTCTCGTCCTGACAACAGTCGTGGCGCTCCCCGGCCACCGCTGCGTGAACACGTCGCCCAGTCCGTGCGCCGCTACCTGCGTGATCTCGATGGCTGCGACGCGGACGATGTCTACGAGATCGTGCTGCGCGAGATGGAGATCCCGTTGTTCGTGGAAGTGCTCAACCACTGCGAAGGCAACAGTACTCTGCGTTGATACCACTGCTT